AATAAATTAAGCTTGTTAATATTTCTTTTTTTTTCTATCACCATTCCCAGAATGCCCACTATTAACACAATCTACAGTCTATAAAATAATGTATCTTGCAACGTATCAAAATATTCAATTAATTATGAAAATAAACAGACATTATTCAAACAGTTTTCACTCACGCTGCACTACATATAACCAAAAATATTCAATAATTGTGTCAATAGTTTGATTTAAAAAAAAACCAAGATACTTATTAGTGTTAATTAAAAAAAGTAATAATAATACTACTAACATATTTTAAACTATTTTAGGGGAACAAAATAGGAAACTATGAGAATTAACTTATATAAATGTTAAAAGCAAATCTAGCACGAAAAACGCAAACACAAATCGGTAAAGAAAACCTAGAGTGTTCAATGGAACAAAGAAATAATATATAGATGCGTGATAGCAATATATGCCATTGTCAGTAGTGAAGGCTTGCAGCTGAGTCTGTGCTTAAAAATATGTTTTCCATTTGTTTAAAAAAAAAAAAAACACATTAGTATAGGTGAATAACCTACATTTAATTCAAACATATGCATTACTATTTCCTTATACATCAACATCTACCCGTCGTTATTTTTCTCCCGAGCAGGCGAAAAATGCAGCGAACATTTAGCAGATATTTCCGATGACTATCTGATCCTATAGCACGGGGCTCTCCTGCCTCTATGCATGATTAACCTGTTATTGACCTAGTTAGCACTCTTTCATGTAAAAGCAATCTGATTCTTACAAACTCTATCGCGATCAGGTCATATATAACAGAAATCATTTTTAAAAGGCTCTGCAGGCGTGTCGATAAAAAGAAAAAAGTATGTTCTATGATACCAGGTCGTAAAAAGCGTCATGGCTTGTCAGTGGTATTTACAGGGTTAATACATACAATGGCAGCTCTAGAAGACCTGCATACAATTCTATGTTTATAACTAAAACTGTTGTGCATGATGTAGAACTATCTAGAAGCAGTTTTTATCACAATGTACATATATACTTGTGAATGAACTGGTTTTAGCAGCAACTACTGTCTGACGTTCTAGGTAATTACTTAAAAGTCTTGTCTGTCGTGTGTGCCTCTGTATATAGCAAGATAGCACCATTGTACAGGGAATGAATGGCAGTACAGAGTGTCTTCTTGACTTATGGTCAACCTTGAACCTTTTCATTTATAATTTATCTTCAGACAATATGGAGTCTCCAAGGCAGGGCCGATATCTTTTAATGCTGAGTAGGAGAAAATGATTGGGCTTCTGCAGCGTGCGAAAATAAATTTGCGGAAAAAAAACTATTTGAGTAGATAGCTTGGTGAAGGCAGCAGCATAGAGCCGAGATAGCAGATCAGAATTGCCATTTTACTTTTTTGCGAAACAAAAAAAGGCTTATATAAAGAAAATAAAATGGTTTTGACTGAATAAAGGTGGTTTGATTACAGTGGATCAGAAAAGCTAATTGTTTTAATTATTTACAGATTTATGCACTAAAGTGGGAATTGTAAAAAGGCTACAAAGGAACTGAACATATGAGGTCAAAGTAGCTTAGTTGGGCATTAAAAGAGCTGGATTTTCCCTAATTTTGCTATTTTAGTTTAAAATGTGCGTTTCCCATCTCAGATCTTAGTTTAGTGAATAAACGCCTTACACTCTTATTATTCAGCTTTTAACCAAGTAGTGTCTGGATGGTTTAAAATATCCAACATATAAAACAGCGATTATTCATTACTAGATGTGTGCTTTGTCGAATCATAAAAAAGGCTGCAGAAATCTTGTTACACGGCATTCACCGCCTCCCTCTCGTATATGCTGGTATAAAGCATACATTAACCCTATTGAGGTCAGCGAGTACTGCAGCACTCCAGAAAGCCTTTATCGTAGCAGGTGAGGGAGTCCATTGAAAAGTAATCTTGAACCAGTCTTTTATAAATGAGCCGCTGTCGTCCATGCTGTGCGTGTAACAAGACATATGCAGATTACCTGGGCTGAAAACCAAGGCTTCCTGAAAATAACCCCAGCAATGTAAATGATGGCCTCATACATTACAGTCACTCACATGCGTCTTCCCTGTCCCCTCCCCAGCACACCACCACCACCTCCTGCGCATCGCCACCCATGAATTTAAAGCAGTGAGTATAAGAAAATTAGAGGATGGAGTTATGTGTTGGTTGTTTTTTATCTCCCATGCAGTAAAAGGTCTGCGGTGCACAGATTGGTCTTGTATTACATTATACCGACACACATTCCTACACAGACACACGTCCTCACATACACCCACATACAGAAACATTCACATTCATACACCATCATACATGTGCTCACACACAGCATACATGCACATGCATACACACACAAATATGCACACACATATAGCATACAATGAATAGTAACAGGCTCTCATAGGCAGAGTACATGTTATTTGTGTTTATCAACAAATTAGCAAATATAAAAGATATGTGTGTTTGTGTCGTCCCTTGACATATTATTATGATCCCTGGTATACTTACATAAATATACATATAGATAGAGCCCTGTGTTACAATATTTCTATGTAGCCTTATTTTACTAAACACGTAAAGGTATTGTGTTCTCTCTCTCTCTATATATATATATACACACTCACACACGCATGCACACACGCACATCGTATATGAGTTGAGGTTGAAGGGAGGACAATTTTCTCCAATAGGAAATTATATAATAGGAATAATAAGATATTCTGTGTAATCCAAATCCCTTTTTCCATGTTGATTTTCGTAACTCCATACTAGATTGCAGCACTTAATAACCACACAATAAAACAATCAACAACAGCCCTAGAAAAAAAAAGGTTACTTCTTTCTGACCCCTGCAATCATCCTTATGTGATAAGCCATGTATCCGCCCCCCACTCACGGCATTAACACATTAAGATATTACAATGTAAAACTCTTGGAAATATATAAATAAATAAAATCTGATTGACCAAATTTCTCCTGGCCCAGATGGCTTGGCATCTGTGCGGCTTGCTTTCTAAAAGATGCTGCAGCCCCTATAATGGCCTAATGTTTGATATCCCCCTAGAGATTGCCAATATGAGCTAAGTATTAAGTCTTAGGTTCCAGATGAGTTAAGATTGGCTGAATTTCAGACACTCGTCCCAATGACCCTTTTAGAGCTGGAGGGACTTTTGTACAGTGTTGGGGTAAAGAAATCCCTCAACATTTTATCTCGTTATTTGCTGATAAAAATAAACAAAACAAAAAATTACAAACAGTCATTCGTAAAACCATGTTAAATCTTGCAGATTATATGTAATACCATCCCTGTGTAGGCACATTGTAGTCTTATAATGTACAGCATTCTAACATCGAATCGAGAACACAAAAGAAACATGTTAAAAGACAATATAAGCAATTAATATTTAATTGATGCTTCATTGATTTAGGGTGGTAAAGGTTAAAAAGGCACAATTAATTATATAACATTTTATATATAAACATATTACATCTATATATTAGAATATACATATATACCTTTTAATATATAGATATAATATGTTAAGTAAGGGTGATCAGCGCTTTGGCCCTACCAGGATTAGGATATTGTAGTCTAACAAGAGCTGGAGGGGGAGGCAAAATTGGATACCCCTAGGTTCAAAGCAAAGCAGAAAATAAGAATGATGCTTAATGTATTCTTTCTCTGCATCAAATGACTTTAGAATGTTCCCCTCGCAAATCAGCCCCCCTTGAGAGCAAAACAAGCCCCCTTTGCCATGGGCAGATGCATAACACAGAGCCTTACGATCTCCCCAGGCAGAAACGTCCTCAGCTCTGGTTGTTGTTTTTTTACATGGATTTTCACTAATTCCACAAAAACTAGGTCAGGCCGCACAGTATCCCAATTTTCTGCCATTTTATGTTTCATCCATTTTGCAACATTTTCCTTTTTGTTTCATATCAGTATGGCAATACAGATCTGCAAATACGATGAACAAGCAAATAAAATTAAAAAAAATGAAAATAAATAAAGGTTGTCCCAGGACGACTGCACGTTTATTGAATCAAAAATCACGTTGACAGACCCATGTTTTCCTGAAAAAAAAATGAAAATGTAAACATATAGTGTTATCAGATAAAAGCAAAAATAATATATTTTAAAAACTTGCTATATGTCCATTCTGATTTTCTTTGACTAATGACGAAACCATAAATAAAATAGGATACACACTAACATTTTGAATCACATATACAATCATGAGATTGTTGTAAACCTTCTGAAGCATCCAATATGTCCAGTAGCATTATTTGCAAGTAGGAAACAAATGCATGATGCCATTGTTTGCAGGGAGAGATAAATACAATATGAATACAGTGGACGATGTTGAATTTTAATAATGGTTAATAATGGTTATGTCTTTCCCCATTAAATATCTAAAGCAAGATTAGAATGTGCATCGGACTGCACCACTCCTTCTGTGCTGAGACTTTTAAATATTTAAAACCTTTCTTAAATCACACTCGTTAAAGGCATTAACCCACTCACTTCCCGTTCTACCTGGGTAGTGACGATCTTAAGAAAATGAGACAACGAAAAAATAAAAACAATAAAGAAGTATTGGAAAATGTGTTCATCGACCATAAAACAATAAGCAGAAAATAAAAAAGTAAATATGTAAATATTTATGGGGAGAGCGTGCAAGGCAAGAGGAGAAAAAAAAAATCATATTTACTTTCCTAGACAATAAACAGGCGATGATAGTGGCGTAGATTACTTGTCGCTGTCATTATGCAACACTCCCTGTACGAAGGGATAGCTTTTTCATCAAGTCTCAGTTTTCCTGAGCATGCATTGCCATCACCCATAGATTATTTAACCTCTGTGTCACTGAGTGTGGCTGTCTCCACATGGGTTCACAGAGCGAGGACAGCCTCGCAGAGAAGAGAAGGGTTAAACTTGAACCGTCTGAAACTATTTCAAGGGCCACCTTTCTGATAACTGACAGGCAAAAAAAAATAAAAAAATCCTGCACACATACACACGCAGTAATTCAAGGGTATTTAAATGGACACGCAAAGGTTCACAGAGTAACTGCAATCAAGAGAACTCTACGTGCTGCAAAGTAGTGGTATATTGTCTTACAAGGCATTATATAGTCCTTTGGCAGACAAAGGGTTAACTGATGGAATCGACAATTTAATTCATAACGTTGGGCAAAAGTCTTTCTTTCCCTCTTCCTGTATTGAAATTGTTTTTTTAAAAGAAATATTATATGTGTTTGCGAAGCATATGCAATTTTTTTTTTATATGATTGTTTTGTAAAAAACCTTATAAAGCCATGCACATCTCGGATGGCATAACAAATCGTAAGATTTTAACACGAAGGTGCACACTATCTCACAAATCAAAAACGGGAAAACGTGGCTGAATATCTTTCCAGGGATCGGAAGCAATATTAAATGGATTCAGGGAAAGACTGTGCACATTATAAATCTACCGCGTCCCCTTGTATGATAATATAGTAGCAGATTAATCAATTTCACATAAGGCAGCTTGCTCAGGGAATTCCTTCTCTATCCTTAACAGGCTCAAATGGAAGAGGGGGGAAAATGCTTTCTTTAAGAAATACTGAAAACCTCTGTAGCTTGTATATCATTGATTTAGTTAAAATTATTTCCTACATGTTTAACACACAAGGATGGAATTGGGTTTATGTATTAATACAATATCCCCAGCAAATCTAATGGATTAAACAGGACCAATCCTAACTGTATTGAGTTTAAATAAATTGCAAATAGTCAAGAGTTCGAAAAAAAAAAATGTAATTTTTTTAGTCTACTGAAATCTAGGTCATACATTAATTTAGAATTATACGGACTGTTTAATTTCCACTTTGTTTATAGAAAACCTATTTAAATGTCCTTTTTTGATGATAATCTTTTAAGCCAGATTTGTCATTTTTCATTAAATATGCAGTGCTAAGAGCCTGCAAAATGTTGTGTGGTTTATTTTTTTACGTACAATTGTGTGCCCTCCTTAAATAAAACAATTACATTGTTTTATTACATTTTAGTGCTTTTTACGTGTGCATGGGTGTCTACATGTATAGACATGGTGTCTAATTTCTGTAAAGTGATATCTCCTATAGATGTTCGATGGTATAAATTTGTTCCAGATATCGAAGGAATGCTCTTGTCTTTCTGAATTTCTCACCTTGGGGGGCAACGTATACAATAACCAAGAACATCGGTAGAGAATACAATACATGACCAAGAACCAAAGACAGTTCAGAACTTTCACAGCCGTCAATTATTAGTACCTTACTGCACCATATTCAAATTGCCTTTTTTAATTCACACTCCTGCGTCTATTTCAATTTACATGTATTATGCTGATATTTATACTTGCGAACGGCACTTCTAATTGAACAATATCTAATTTTAGAATGTTAGAAGACTGTAGAGTACGAAGCGTTAGATAGAATACTCAAGCGTGCACTGTGTCTTAATAGCTGTAGATAGATTAGAACCTCAGTTAACCTGTAGCTGACAACAGCAAGCATAAATCACAGAGTCCGGTGACAGGCGACTGCTTGGCCTATCTAAATAGCCCATATGGGCTACTTTTCTTAAACACTGTACTGGTTCATATGGCATATTCTGATCCGTATCATCAAACCATAGGATGTTCCATTTGTGTGTTTACTGATTTACATTGCAAGATTAATTATTGTCGTCTTTAGTTTTTCTATTAACTGGAAATATAAGGAAAATATCCAATGGAGATATGAGTTTTTACCATCTCTAAGCCAAAAATGAATGGAACCATCTCACTAACAAAACACATGGTTTTCATGAACCCACTGATCCATGGATCTCTGAGGGGAGATCCATGGATCAGTGGGAAGGTTTAAGAAAATGTTAATGCTTACAATTTTGTCCCATGTGAATGAATACAGCCCATTGTACATACAATATATTGTTTTCCATACAACTGTTGAAAGTACCTCGAATCCCGTTATGTAGTGGAGACACTTTATGTCAGTGAAATTTGTTAAAACAAATTTGTCATTTTTCGTTGGTGTTTTATTTATTGTTTTCTTTCTTTCAATAAATACTTATGCTGTCTTTTAGAAACCGAAAAGTATTTTATTTTATACTGCTTATAGACAGAAGAATCACCTGCCCTCTTCAAATACACAAACATGGACAGAGTAGTTCGAACAGTGAAACTAACTGCAAGAAAGCTAACTGGTTTGTTTTAACACTAATTAGGTGGACATAAAATATCCGTGGGCTGAGCTGGGAGGATGAGAAGCCAGGACAGAATCCCAGCAGGGATAGTTGCATTTATTATAGCAAGGGACATCAAAAATACTTTTGTTTGACCCAGTAAAAGAACACTGATTAAATCAGGCAGGAGCTCTAACGTAAATTTGGAAGAGGGAAGTCATACAGGTCCCACTGATAATTACTTTGTAACTGCAACGGAACATTTCCTGATCTCTTAGTTAGTGCGCTTTTCTGTATAGGTAAAGACTTACAAAAAGCTAACAGTGACCTTTTTTATGCATTTTATAAAAAAAAAATAATGCTGGGATTGCGCCAGTTCTTCATCTGCTGTAAGTTAACAATTCTCTCTGTAAGTTAACAATATAATATTAAAATCTTGATCAGATTTACAGCGACGTATAGAATAACCACCGGCTTGAATGGGTTATCAAAAAAGCACTGTCAACGTGTTAATGAATACAAGGAGCAATAAAGGTGTTCTGATGCCTAGCTAACTCCAAAATAACCCCTTAAATATTGATTTCACTACCCCCTAATAGTAAGGACAGTGTGTGGAGTCATAGGAGAGAGCTGATTTATTCCCCCCATCTTTTGTTCTGTTACCTCTGTCCTAGACTCCTCTGCTTGGGCGTCTGGGGAATTGCAGTCCGCATTAGATAGACTGCAGAGACGGCACAAACACTGCAGAGGAATCAATGCAGGATACAACACTATTCTCTGCCTTTATCCAGCAAATGGTAAAAAAAATAAAAATACGGGGAAAAAAACAATATTAAATTATGGCAAATTTTAAATAAATAAATCCTAGCCCACCCCGCACTGCTCACACCATTTTAATATTAGGAGAAATGTGATGGCATATTTATTAGAAAGCCATGGAGACTGGCCATTTGTGTGCTAAGACTAAGGTATTTGAAATTTGCAGTTAAAGATTTTGACATCACTGGAAAAACCTGAGGAGACCTCTCATTTGGACGATAGATGTTATGCCATCACTGTATGTATGAATATTTATGTCCATTAAAAAAAAAAAAAAGATTGCTTCACCAAGAGAGAGAGAAAGTAAATAAATCATTGTCTTTTGTTGTAAATACCCCTCGAGGTTTGAAATAAAATGCTTATTTATGCAATCCTTGATGTGGACTGACTAATCACATGTGTAAGTGTCCCCTATTTTTTTTAACCTCTTAGAGGTTTTAAGCTGCATTGCGTCTTTAGTGGTTAACCCAACAAGGTCCAGGTAGGACGGAAGCAAGGACGACCTGCTGTAGTAACAATATTTCATTTTGAGAGCATAAACAGTTATTGATTCAACAATCCCCACACTCATCCTCTCAGTCTTTGCCCCCCACTACCACACACACACGCAGACTTATTACAGTGCATTATCGCTCTCCCTTTTCAAAGGGTCGGGTGGGTGTGGCTGTCACTGACATTCGGCAAGGTTAAAATTAAGAAATGAGTCCTTCCTCCCCCCCTTCCCCTCGTTCCGCACTTCCCCTCTCCTCTTCCTCTGGCCCCCCAACCCCTACTCTGCCTCTTCCCCCAAATATGGACATTGATGCTCTGTTATTCTCCCTCCCCTTATCTTCCCCTTCTTCTTCATAATTTTGATGACAACACCCTTGTATGATAGAAAACCAAACGGCGTCCCGCACAGCAAAGAAGGGGAGGTACACGGGGGCAGGTGTGACCAGTGACCGTCCATGGAGGGTCTTTTTCTTTATTTGCGAGAATTATAATCCTCTTGTTTTCAGTGCATGGAGTCAGCAGATGTGATTTTTTTTTTGGCTGAATAATCCTTTCAAGGGGAAAAAAAAGTGGATCACATAAGGAGGACAGTGCGACAGATTAGGACTGGCTAATGATAAATTGGAAGGTTCCCTCTTTCTCCAGATCAGCTCCTGGCAAAAGGCACTTTTGCATGACACTTAAGTCTCTCAGTAGGTTTCTAAGGCGAATTTCAAATCTCTTTTTTTTTGTCTCCATTTAAGGTTGTTGTTTTATGCGTCTTTCTTTTGTTACAGGTCCTATTGTCAGTACTTTCCCCCTATTATTCTTTTCATGTGCATGCCGACAACAAGAGCTTTGGGATTGTTGCATTTTTGTCCTCAAATATTCCTTTTTGTGTTAGGTATATTTGCTGGAATGTCTTATTCCGCTGTGGGAAATGCTAGCTAACAGTTTTACTGTATATATTGTAGGTAAATGGAGGAGGTAGATGTTGATGTGTTTCCGTGCTTGAAAGCCGATGGGTCTGCCTACTTTGCTGTTAAATAGGCTTGACGATTAGTGGAGGGTCAGTTCTGCAGTTATTAGTGTCCCAAGCCACACATAGCTGTGAAAGCTGAAAGCCTTTGATGGCAGAGCAGTGTTCAAGCATTGCTGATTGGGGTATCTGGTTACATTGATACTAAGTCCATGAGTTTGAAGCTCCGTCATTGATTGTGCGCTGTGATCGAAAGGAAAAAAAAAATGTCTCATCTGACAATACAGAGAAAGGCACAGGTTCGAGCGGTGTTTAGAAGACAGAAAGGTTTGAACGGTAAGGAAGAGGTAACATTTAACCTGCCACCTGAATCTGTATGCTGTGTTTGACGAGTTGAGAATTCTTACTGCAAAATTGTTGGGCAGGCCTTACGAGTAAACATTCAGCCATCTTTTTTTTAATTTTATCATAGCGCAGAAATTAATGTTGTAGTTAAGAGATCAGATCCCTTCCATGGCGGGACGGATCTGCTAAGACTTTTCATTTAGCATTAGAGAATTAGAATGAAATAAGGTCCATTTATGCTGTAATAAAAAAATGGAAACTGATGAATTTAATCTGGATGTTGTTTGATGGCAACACTAAGTGCTTGTGGAGCAACCTCCATTTGCATTCTGCGTGGAGACGAGTTCCTGCGACATATTTTATTTTTCATTTTTTCCTTAACCCAGAGTGTTGTGCTACTTTATGGCAAGTTCCCTTATTCGCTGTCATTTTATTTTAGTAAATGTGGCTATTACATTAGGAGTAAGGTCAGCAATGGTCTAGGAGCTTCATAAACAATGGACTTTATTGATGGCTAGGTAAATGGAAAGGTTCTAACGAGATGTAGATCTTTACTCATCCACAAGGCATTAACATAGGTTGACCTTTCACATTGGAGAGAGATGTCTAATACAGGAGGTGAGCCAGTTTGATTAGTAAAGGGATTTGGAAAGGGTGTATATACTGCAACCAAACAATCTCCATCTCTCCATTCTGTTCCCTCCCCTCTTTACCTCACTCTCTCTTTTTCTCCCCCTCTCTCTCTTTCTCTCCCTCTCTCTCTTTGCTGCATTTTGCATCAGCTATCTAGGTCATTAGCATTTCAGAGTATGCAAGACTTGACAAAGCTGATGAGAAGCCAGATGGGCCTCTCTCTTATTTTTTTACACCACTTGAGACCTCAGTAAAAGGACTCACTGCGGAGGCAGAGCTGGGATGCTTTATTACAACCTGCAGGCCCCTTTAATGCATCAGATCGTTTATGCTACAAAACAGTATGCAGCATGTGCAACGAGCTTTGCGACAGATAATACCAAAGGGTGATTTTTATGCATTTTTATTATTATTTTTTTCCATAGGTTTTTTTTTCTTTCCTTTTTTAATTTATTTCTTTTTTTTATTATTATTATTATTTATTTTCATTTGTAATTTTTTTTTTTACATCCAAGGCTCCTTCCTCAGCCTCTATCTCATCTCTGGGTGTCAACGGCTGTAACCCCCCCCCACCCTTCTCCCCTCCTGCAATACGTCTGTCATTGTTACAGCGTAAACTGCCTCTTCGTATCTACTGGAAGAAAGCTGCCGGCTTCTGCCGCAGCTGGGGAGGAGGCAAGAAAAAAAAAGAGAGAAAATAGGAGAGAAAAAAAAAAGATAAGAGGGGTCTTTCAGCAAAGCGCTCTGAATACAGAACAAAGGGAACCACTGGGAGAGCTTGGGCTGGTCTAATGTCATTGCACATCAGAAGGTTAAGGGATGAGGATGGTTTGGGATGATTCGGAGAGAGAGAGAATTTTTTTTCTCCCTGTTGTTTTTGTATTTTTACCCCAATGTTTGCTCCGTGTGTGTTTGTTGTCTTCCGATTGAGGCCCCTTCTCTCCGTGTTCACAGCGGACCTTGATTTAAATGTCCATACAATTAAGGCACGCGGTGAATGCCAAGAGAGTGGCTGACTACAGCAAGCAGGGATGTTTGGGTGCCTGGACCGACATGCAGAAGACTGTGCTACCCACTGGCAACGCGATGGATGTCACAAACAAAACACGATGCAGCAAATCTACAAAGACAAACGCTCAGGACAAGATAAACCTGTCACCTTTCAGCGTATAAAATGCTTTTATTGCAAACATGGAAGACAAAATAGACAATTATTGAGATCTGATTCATTTTCTTTAAAAAGAATTCTGCGGATGACTCTGCAGTTTAATGAATGGAGCAGTCTGGCATTCTAGCTATTTCTGACAGTGTGTGTATGTGTGTGAATGTGTGTATGCATGTGTTTGTGCACTGGCTTCCTGCATCTGTTAGAATCAATCGTTTTTATTTGAAATGTTGCAGACATTCTATTAAGAATCCATTCTGAGAAGACGTTTTATAGGCATTTAAACCAGTAGAGACATGTTAGCACATGCACATGCTTTATTTAAGGGAAACATGTTTATATTAGGAGTTATGGTTATTTGAATGGTTTGATATTATGTAACGTAATTATTGCTGTATTGTGTTCTATAGATGTATCTGAGTTTACATATACATATTTATATTCTTGTATACACATATGCACATTTACTTATATATTTACACACATCTATAGCGAATACTCATTTCTCTCTTTATTTTAGGCACTAGACTGGGTGCATTTCAATGTATTGTTTAACATGATTTTGTTTTAACCATTTAATGTCTTTCTTAACATTTCTCCGAAGCTATTTTAGGTTATTACGTAATGTTAATCGGCTTGCTGATCTCACTCCATAAAATAAACCTGGGATGCTAGACCTGATAATGTGGTAATGTGATTTCTCTTCTTTACTGCATACTGCTTTTTACCCTTTAAAAACCTTCTATAGCCCTAGGGGCCTGTGCAGCGGGGAGCTGAACTGCATCTCAGGCACTTAAATGGTTAATTGAATCAGGGGGTTGAATGTGTGGGGGGTAGTATCTGAGTGTGTTAGCTCTCCACAGAGATTTTGCATGAACAAAAAACAAAATGAAAACACAACAAATGATGTAAAGTTAATAATCTGTACATGTCTATTAAGGATTGTACGTAGAATGTAGCACCGTATAGAGATGTTTCTTCCATGCTGTTTTGCAATGTCACAGGCCTACAGATGCTGATGTGCTGGACTTCAATAAAGCCACAATTTTCCAAATCATTGTCCTCTGTTTGTTCCAATCAAAGCTTTGGTTTGTTGGGTCCTTGGAAATAACTAATACATTTACACAACTGTGAAGCTGCAATATGTTTTATATAACTAGGATCATTTTAATTCATGGTGTTTATAGTGTTCTGTGCTTTTATTTTATATTGCAGTTTTACACTAACACACGCACACACACACACACACACACAGTATTGCTGACGTATTATTTGGGGGTAGATTTAATTCTCAAGCAATGATACTTGCTATTTTTTACAAGTCACATAGCTCACAGTGAATCAAGGACAAGGAGACCAAAAAGGCTGTCAGACCCGTACATCTGGGGACTGGGGCCTGATGGAAGGAGGTAGTCAATCTGGCAAGTTACTGTCGGCTTGGATATGCCACTAATGTCTATGAGGCTCAATGGTTTTTGTGCAATGTTTTTGACTACCAAACATTTGACGGAAAATGGTTAAGTGCTGTAAAAATCCCACAACGTTTTGATCAACACAGCAGCAGCAAAAAAAAAAGAAGCATTAAATCATATCATGTTGATGTTAGCTCCTAGGGACATGTATATTTTAACCATTTCGTTGACACTGGAGCATCTTGTTGTATCTTTCTGGGGAACGTTAAAATCTTCACTGTCGCACTTGTGGAGCAGTGAAAGGGTTAAGATAGACACATTGTTTTTAAAGTTTCCAAGAAATTCATCATATCTGACCAACACAATTATTTTCTGCAAAAGTATATTTCTCAAGTAAAATGCACCACTACACTTTAAGAAGATGTATTATAAATTTGGATAAGTATGTGTATTTTCATGTGGGTGTATGTGTCTATACATACCACAATATAGATATATATTTGTTCTGACTTCTTAATAATCAGAGAGCGCCATATCTCCCAATTGTCTTAGATCCAGCAGAACTTTATTGGTTTGGGATCTGTCTAACAGGTCCAAGTGTCACCTCTGATGTTCCCCTTTTAGGAAGAACACAGAGAAGTCCTGCAAAAGTAAGGTCTACTCACCGTCAGCTACCAATGCAGTAAAATATGAATCAGAAACGTTATTAAAAACAAAAACATGAATAATTGGAGAAAATAACTTAGTAAACAAGACCAATCATTTTAGTTTTAAAGAGGATATATTACAATGAAGTAACCGAGATTTGTTAGCAGATGCTTTATGTTTCAATTCTATACAGTACGATAAGGTCTTTTCTGATAAGGCAGCTGGGTCGGACATCTTTAGAGATGATACAAACGGCTGTTATGCCACCATAAAGCTTAGAGCAATTTAGGTTAACATTGGCTAATCCTAATGCAGAGCAGATTACTCACTGGTTACCCATAACCCAGGAGATGTAGTCATTGCTCTAAACCTCTCACAAGGCATGCAAAAAGCAGTGATGTATGGAGGGGGTAGGTTCACCTCCTGCTGTCCGGGCATTCAGAATTTCACATTTCGTTACAGGCCTCTCCAAACTGGACATTTACTAATGCATTAGCTTTATCTCACTGCGATGCATCACAAAAAAAGAATTAATATAGACAATACAGTAACAGGCGATATCGCCTTTATACGGGAGCTGTGAAACTCCGGGATATGACACGTGTTACAGAGACACAGACAGACACACAGACAGTACTTACGTAAATATGTATGTACACTACACACATTTCTCCGGCCGTCTGTCTGTCAATGCAGATAAAGATATACATCATATCTTTAGACAGTTATACACCTGCAAATGTGTATATTTTAGTTTCAAATGTAAGTAGAAATAAAAGATATAGATTTTAACACTCCACCTGTCAGACAATATCGCCTTGTACATCAAACTTAACAGGCTGATTTTAGTGTATTTAACTTCTTAATAAAAAAGAAAAAAAAGGATGAAAACATAAATAAGAAAAATAAGCCTGTCTGACCCTAGTGGAGTGTGATTTTATACAAAGCAGTGGTTTAATTTGATTAAATCATCTTGCATTTATGACTCCATCGCATTGTGTAGACATCTCACTCATGAAATGGTTAAAGCCAGTTGCTCCAATAAGGAGGTTTTTTGGTTTTCCGTACGCTGAGCTATCAGCTCTGTATTTAATGGCTCCGAATAATGCACGTCTTTGGACAGGGCGATGCAAGTTGAGTCAGCCATTAGATGTATAGGTATCTAGCTAGGCTGTATGGCAGCGTACCTTGCGGTTTGAATTTCTCCACACAAGGAGTATCAATTACAGGGCTCTAATACATTTATTCCCAGAACAGGCAGTTTCATACAATGCTGAGCAAGCCGCCCCGGTAACATAGTATCAGAGCATGGCTATGCTTGTGCATTGTCTCACTGGCTGAGATCATACAGCAATAAGGCTATCAGTACAAAACAGCATAGCATACCGCCATCTCCGCGTGACGCAGGTCTGACTGGAAACAAGAGCTAGGTATATTTAAATATGGGTACATAGCAGGTTTTATATAATTTTCTGTAAGTCAGTGTCTGTCTAAAATGATGTACATTCTGTGAGAGCAAGCAGAGACACAGTGTAACATCGGACATCACAGCCCAAAGCTTGCAGCAGCTCAGTGCGGTAATCTGTTCTGCATGTAAGGTCAGAGGGACGACAGGCCTCTTACGCTGTAAGCTAGAGATAAGCGGAAGTATGCAATGCCTGGGTATTTTTGCGAACACTCTTGGTGGTAGGAATACACGTGAGCATCTGTGAAAATGTAATTATATATTAAACAGAGGATTCTTCTTTTATTTATTTTTTTATAGAGACTGGTCTGAGCTAACATTAATCTCAACAATTATAACACAATAAAGAGATCGACATTCGACATTCAATTGTACATTTCAATTTGCATAAATCTGAAAACACAATAATAAAAAAATACATTTTAATAAAGGCAATGCAAGCTGAAAGTTCTAGTTGTGTGCACAATACGTATATATATATTTATATTTATATTTTTTTCTACTCGAAATACTGAGTGCAGCGTCATATATATTTCTTGGTAACTTTGCTTTCACCATTAACCCAAATCAAAGCCTGTTTGAAATATTCACCATGTTATTTAATTAGTCTACATGTAAAACAACGAATACAAGTTGTGTTGATCTATGTTTCATTTTTGACTCCGCGCAGACTGGGAGTCAGCAAATGACCACAACAACTTACAGGGTAATTTAGTAAAGTCAGAATTTAAACTGGCAGAGTAACCAAACTCGAAATGACTGATAATGTTTCCAGTTATGGCTCTCTTTGCCTTAAATTTGAAATTCAAATTTAAATTGACTTTAAATTCTCATTTTGAATAGCCATGTTAGGGTCAATATTTAAATACCCGTCATTCTGTCTCACCACTATTATTGAAAGAAAAATAAACGCACCATTAAAGTGAAATTAAAATTTTAGTTTAGCTTTGTTTGTGTTTTGTTTTTTCGTACCTCTGAAAATGAATTAAAATACATTTGCTGACTGGGTACAATGAAACACACACCTATATTTATAGATGCCTGATAATATTCACTGACAGTACTCACTACTCCCCGACTAATAGTCGATCAGGCTGGGTCATACAGTGTTAGCATCAATGTGTGATATCACAAACAGCAGCAGCGTGGCGGTCAGCAAGTGAGGGACCCTTGTTTTGCATTTAAATCAGAATAGGGGACCTCATCAAGGTCCCCTTATTGATTTCACATAAAACCAAATTAAGTGCGGGTTACAGGGCGTTGACAGCCAGGGCTGACTGCATATATCACACTGAATAATGGCAATGCCAAGTACAGGGAGCAACATTATTTATATCACAAAAGGTACATGTCATTTTATCCTCATTTAAATATCCTCATGTTTTTAACCTTGGCTTTGATTAACCTTAAGGGCCAATGTTACAGTTTGATGCAATCTCCGTTAGGTCCCCAAAGATCTTGTGTCTGCATAAAATGTCCTGTATGTTTCGTTTTGGGAGCTTGTGCACATTTCACATTAGTAAGTTGTTCCATTTTTTAACGTCTTAAGGGACAGGTTACAGTGCCAGTAGTTAAAAGGCTCATTGAAGAAAAAAAAAAAAAATACACTGAGTGGCATTCAAAAGACAGTAAACTATGGCCAATTTATTTCATGTAAATATAGCATACTACATAAAATAGAAAACAGAACACATTCAAGTGGCAATCCTGATTTGAAAAAATGTTGACATAAATTGAGAATTTATAAAAAGCCTCTAACGTGTTATTATCAACTTACATGAATTGCCACTTTAAAGTGATTTTATAGTGTTAGGAATACTGATTTGTATTGCTAACATTACATAGCCCTCTTGTCCATCCCCTCCCTTGGCTCTGGGTTGGCGCTCCACCACCTCTGACGTCCTAGGAGGGCATTAGGCCCTCCGCATAGGAAAGCATTGCTTCAATGACACTGTATGTATTCATGCAAAGTGTGAGGATGTCCAGTATCACTTACGGGGACCAAGAGTCCATTAGCATCCAGGAAGTGCCTCTAGTGACTGATTGACAACCACTAGAGGCAGTCTTAGTCCTGCAAGGTAACCATTGCAGTTTGTCAGAAACTGCAATGATTTACATTGTAGGACTAAGTTGGAAAGGGACACTGCACCCAGAGCACTTCAATGAGCTGAAGTGGTCTGGCTGCCTATAGTGTACCTTTAACAATTAGACTTAAAATGTTAAGCTCAACATACTTCCAATCCCTGCCGGGACGTGGGCATCTGCTCAGGCCCCAAACCAGCTTCAAACTCCTGTGCGTACACAGAACTCACATCCCCAGGGGTATCTCGACCGTATACACCACACTCCAGAACCAGACCAGTGGGGAAGTGGTGATCCGATTTAAGGACCACTGGGAGAGGGACACGGGGGAGTCCCTTTCCACACAGGAATGGGACAAGATCTACACCCTCACACACAAATGCTCTATCAGTTCGAAGTTCCAAGAACTGAACTACAAAATATTAACTCGATGGTACAGAACACCCG